AAATATTATTTTATTATAAAAATATATTTATTATATCGTTAACGTTAACATGTGTTATAAAATTCTTGCTCGACATTATCTCTCTACAATTTCACGCTTCTCTCTACCACCGAAAATCGATTGTTGGTGGTTACGGCTTTTTCTCCCCTGATTTATACCAAGTCTTCCTTCTCTCTGTCTCTCCCTCTGTTCCCATTTCCTGCTCCACGTGGGTTGTAGCTGTTGCTTTCTTCCTGCACTTCTTTCCATCTCTCTTGATTTCCCATTTCCTCTGCCCATAACTCGCTTGATCTTGATTACCCCAGTTTCAATCACCCTCAACTTGATCTGCAGACAGCTTGCTTTTTTGGGTTGCTCCAGGTAAGAGTTCGAAACTCCTTTCTCTTTAATTTGGAGACTATTTTTATGAGTTTTGATGAGGAATAATTGTGATCGAGTGATTTTCTTTCTGGGTTAAGTCTGTTTTTTTAACCTTTAATCGGTATTAGGAGTCTTGGGTTTTCGAGCATTTTTGAGGTTTTGCTTTGTGGGTGGAGTTCTTGATTGTAGAATTGGGAAAATTTGTGATTTTGGGATTGATTTGTATGCGTAGATCTGCTGTTTTATGATGTTTATGCCTTTTCGCCTTTTTTATTACTTCATTGTGATTGAAAATAAGAAAAAAGGGGAAGAAGGGGAAGATTCTTCTTATATAGTTTATTGAGAAAAAGTTGCTTTTTATCTGCATTATGAGGTGGCAGGTTTAGAAATCCAATTTCGGTTTTGCTTTTTGCAGGATACTCAGCTCTGCTTTCATCTATTGTCAACTGTAAGTTATAAGCTTTAAGGGTGAATTTCTGGATTGATCTGGATATGGTGATTTGGTTCATAAGGGCTTGTGGCAATTTACTCATGTCTTGGTAGTGAAGTGATTTGAAGGTGTCTGAGATTGTAATTGGAGTGGGGGAATGGGGGAATTAAGCATAATTGAGTTTTGAAATTTGAAGAATTTTCAAAGATTTGCAGATTGATTGCAACTGAGGAGTATTTGATTATTGGATTGATCTGCCCATTACGTGGTGAGTTTGAAAGGTCTTACAGGGTTTTCAGAAGAAGTTCTGACGGATCCGTCTATTGAAAATCCGGGTTGTGACTGTGTGGCTGGTCTGGAGTGCTTACTAAACATTATCAGGGCCCTCAGAATGGGGTCCTGTTTATCTGCAGAAATTAGGAGCCCTCGAGCTGGTTCTCCTTCTTCCTCTCTGGGGATCAAGAAGAGGAGGAACTTGAAGGGAAAACTGGGTTCGCATGGTTCTTCTTTTGACTACCTGAGGGAAGAGCCATTGCACAGGATACCAGGGAGGATGTTTCTGAATGGGTCTAGTGACGTTGCTTCACTTTTTACCCAACAAGGCAAGAAAGGAACCAACCAGGATGCCATGATTGTTTGGGAGGTTAGCTCTTTTTCAATTCACATGTTTTCCTTATTTTCCACAGGGATTGTGTTGCTATCAGACTGGTCAAAATGTTGGTTGTTTAATATATCTGGAGTTGATTTCATGCAAATAGCTTTGGAAACAAGCAATTTGAATAATAATATGTTACTTGGATGAATGGATATGCTCTTTCAAGTTGTTTAACTAGCCAAGTTAAGTTTTTAATTAATAAATATAAATAAATTATTAATACCTTCTGATGAGTATAACCAATTATTTTTAATGTTTGTTTTTTACTTAATATATTGAGCTAAAGAACATTCAGCTTTTTAATTCAAGGAAAAGCAGAGGTTTTTTTAATGTTAATTGATTGCAAATTCTTTGCAGATTTTGTCCAATCTTTTAGTTATGTCACCAATTATGCTTCTATCTGGCAGAGTTAATCTCTAATTCAATTTCTAATTTGATTTTGCCTGTACTAGAGGAACCTTATTTCTGGCAAAGTTTCTGCAGAAACAACTTTCATTTTTAGCATTTCTTACAAGAATAAATTTATAAGTTCCTTGCTGGGTTTTTTTACCCTAAAATTTCTTTTTGATTGCTCATCATTATTGCATCCTACAAGTTTATTTATTCTGAGAAAATATTGATTGCTCTATTTTGTTGTTATTTCTGACCTCTTTGTTTCATATTTTATCTAATTGATAATGTGATTAAGATCTTAACATTTTTACCAAAAGGAAAACAGGAAAAAATTCTGACAAATTGTGGGTAAAAGACAACCTGTCTTTTGTTTTTGTTGATTAAGGATGCTGCACTAATTGTATTTTGGGAATTCTGATTTTTTGAAATGATGGAAAATAGAAAAAGTTTTGGAAGAGACTAAAGCACTTTCTGTGTTATTCCTTTGTTTTCAGTATTTTAGGAGAATAAAACTTGTGATATCGTGCTAGCTTTTTTGGACTAGATGATCATTGAAAGTTAGAAACTATCCAATTCTCCTTGATTCTTCACCATTCTTGCCAAAGACATCTACTTCTCTATCCTGAACTGCATCTTCTTCATATCATGTAATGGTTTAAAGGGTCTTCTAATTTTAGCTTTGCTGCATCTAACCAATTTCTTATTGTATTAGTTATTTCTGCTAGTTATTTCTGCTTTAGAATATTCCTCTTCTTATAAACAACCTGTTAACCTGTTCTTCACAGAATTTTGGCTCAAGAACAGATACGGTTTTCTGTGGTGTTTTTGATGGCCATGGTCCCTATGGTCACATGGTTGCAAAGAGAGTGAGAGACTCTCTTCCCTTAAAGTTGAGTGCACACTGGGAAGTTAATATAACCAGTGAGGTTGTTCTTAAAGAGATCAATCTAAATAATGCTGGAAGCATGATGTCTGAAGATATTTCTTTTATATCAGCTGATGAGGAATCAAAGGCATCTGCTGTACTTGAGGAAACTGAAAAGCACCCTGAGATTTTTCAGACTCTGAAAGAGTCATTTCTGAAGGCTTTCAGAGTAATGGACAGGGAACTCAGAATGCATGCAAATATAGATTGCTTCTGTAGTGGGACAACAGCTGTAACTTTAATCAAGCAGGTATTCACCTCAAACCATTAAAAACTACATCTGTAAAAGAATGTAATTTTTTGAAATGTGCTTGTTGATCATAAATCTTTTGGCTCTGTGTAGGGTCAACATCTTATCATTGGAAATGTTGGGGACTCTAGAGCTGTACTGGGTACAAGGGATGAAGACAATTCCCTTATTTCAGTTCAGTTGACTGTTGATCTGAAGCCAAACCTTCCAGGTTATACTCTCTCTTTTCCCTCCCCTGTACCCATTTCAGTGTTTCTTGTCAAACACTGTTTTCAGTTTCACTCAAAATTTTATGATAGGAAAAAGCAATGGCATTTCAAATTTTGTTTTCATTTCTTGAATCAATGAAATGCACAACAGAATCTAATTCATAATATTGTTCCATTTACTTTATATTCCTTAACCATTGTTTGTAGTCATTTTAAGAGATTTAGATTGCTATCGAGAGAGTACATTTTTCATTAATGAGCTATCAGTGAAGATATGTTTACCTTCTTGAGAATTATCATTTGGTAACCTCCCAATTACATTTAAAATGTAAGAATGGATATAGGCTTTCATAGGCAACAAAATATTGTCATGACAAAATCAAAATTAAGAGATTCTGTTTTGATAACTAGGAGTGGTATTGAAATCCTCCACGGTGCTTTTGATTTGTTGTGACCATCTTGTGTCTCTTAACACATCTAATTGGAACCTTCAGTAGAATTTTAAAATGCTGTCCATAAATTTTGCATACCTTTAACTGTTTCATCAATTGCTGTCAATAAGTCTATGGAATCTTGAAGGGCACTATGAATTGCAAGAATTTGTGTCAAGACTAATGAGGTCAGATAAACAAGTTGTAATTGAGGATGTTTGCAATAGGTTTTATTTCAATTGACATAAGATCAAAAAAAGAAGGTGAAAGCACCAGAGTAGGATGTCTATATTTAAGACAAACAGTTAATTGTCGAACAGAGAAGTACAGATTGTGATTGTGGGATAATATCTTGAAACCTATTTTTTAGGTACATTATCTTGAAACCTATTTTTTAGGTACATTATCTTGAAACCTATTGCTAGATGAAATGCAGTTGTCTATGCAGAGTTAACTGGCAAGGCAATATCTCTACAGTTGCAAAACATCCAAACATAAACCTAGGATGAAAATGATTCCTTATCTGCATTCTAAAGGGTTTCCTTCCTTATCTGTATCAGAAAGTCTAGTTATGTGAACCATTGTTTAATAGAGTTCTACTGGTTGCAGTTATGTTGATATGCATATTCCTTGTCAACCATTCTTATGTTTAGTTATATGAGTTTTTCTTAGAGGTGTACTTTTTTCCATCTACAGCGGAAGCAGAAAGAATCCGAAAATGTAGAGGTCGTGTATTTGCCCTTCATGATGAACCTGAGGTTGCCCGAGTTTGGCTACCAAACAATGACTCACCTGGCCTTGCTATGGCACGGGCTTTTGGAGATTTTTGTCTGAAGGATTTTGGCCTGATTTCCGTGCCTGAAATATCTTATCGACGTTTGACAGAGAAGGACGAATTTGTTGTTTTGGCCACGGATGGGGTAAAAAGCCCAACTTAAAGTTTTTCCCCCAAATGCATAACCAATTAAATTTTTATTCATTCTGCTGATCTAACGTTTGCTTACACTTTTAGATTTGGGATGTTCTCTCAAATAAGGAAGTGGTAGATATTGTAGCTTCAGCCCCAGCACGGTCGTCAGCAGCTCGGGCCGTGGTTGAGTCAGCAGTTAGAACATGGAGATACAAGTACCCGACTTCAAAAGTAGATGACTGTGCTGTAGTCTGCCTCTTCTTGGATTCAAAGTCAAACAATTTATCCACTGCTTCCATTGCCAAGGAGCAGCCTAATTCAGTAGACCAAGTCAAGAATGGCATGGAGAAAGAGACTGATCTTTCTGGTCCAACCATTCTGCACCGTTCAGGAACTGTCCAAAATGACAAAGAAACACTAGCAGAAGGAACTGATGATTCCAGAAAGCAGGAAGAATTGCATTCAGAATTAGGAATAGATTGGTCAGCCCTTGAAGGGGTTTCTCGTGTCAATACCCTCTTAAAGTTGCCTAGGTATGTGCCTGGAAAACAAGATAAGAAGGCTGCTGGAGAAACAAAGAAGCGGCAATGATCAAGGCAAGCAAGTTTGGTTAGTGTTTAATTTTTTGTTTACTTGTTAATCTTGTTGTTTCCTTCCTTTAAATTATATATTTTTTTGTTAATTAATGTTAAATTTCAACGGGAGAGGTGGGCCCGGCTGTATTAGTTTGTCTGGGAAAAAGTGTCCTTTCACTCTCTGGTGTGAGTAGAATTAGAATTTGTGCAAAATCCAGCTCTCCGTCTATTGTCTTTCCTCCCCATGAAATTTTCTTTTTCTTAAATTTTCAAGTGTGATATGGTTAATTTGTTGGTAATTGTATGTTGATAATAATTTTGTGACAATGAAAATGATTTTTGTTGTGATGTCAGATGTGGACTCTTGCTCATTTTTGCAACACCATTTTTTTTTTTCTGGTTTGATTTGCATCATTTCCAACTAATTCAAGTTGAAAGTTTTGAGATAAGGACTGTAGATTGTCGAGTAACCACTAGTTTTTTAACTTTTTGAAGCTTCATACGCTAATACTTTTTTGA